CTTTTACTGTTTTTCGAATCCAGCTTTAAAAAAAAAAAAAAAAAAAAAAAGTTAAATGCAATTTCTATAATCAGATCTATTCACCGGTATTTCTTAGTTTTGTGTCTTTCATCTTCTGTCGTAAAGGCTTTAGCACTTTTTACAAAATATTGGAAAATGTGCTCGTACTGGAAAAATAGAAAAAACAATTGATAGAAGTAATTACGGAAAAGTGACATATTGCTCCGGTGAAGATGATCGATGAAAAATGTAATTGAATAAATTTAATTGAATAAATGAAACTTATATACCTTTTTCTGGAGGAAATACATTAACATTGCAAATTCATCTTTTAAACGATGATCCGAAAGGGCAGTGGACAGACTAATTACTTGGATGGAGGTAAACGTAAATGGTTGTGGATGGTATACATTGTAGATACAAGACAAAGGCACCCGGCTTTAACAATATAAGCGGGTAATAACCCTTTGTTCTCACCTAAAATTGTGTCCCTCTATAATGCACTTATGAGCAAAACCACAAAACTGAGTGCTAGTTGAAACATCAAAGGGCAAGGAGATTAAAGAGCATTCGATATGAAACGTCACTTCAAATAGTGTGACACCTAGAAAACTTTGTCAGTAATTCCTAGAGACGATGAACCAACCCATTATTTATACCATTTAAGCATCATATTACCCACATTATATATCCACCTCCCATTCACGTCCCATTCATGCCCAGCGAGCGTAAAATGATACGCAGGGGCATTTCTTTATAAATTTTTTTTATTGATAATCTATAACCACAATAATTATATCATGGATCTGTTCATCAATGTGTTTCCAAGCACTTACCTGCTTCCTCAGTGGCGTTGAACATTCCTCTCGTGCTCGTTCGAATCTCTCAAACTTAAAGCTGTTACTACGGTAGAGTTCATTGTCACTTTGCTGCCTTCTGCATAGTCGCCTGGTCAATGCACGGGGCTTACAGGGTGCACATTCCGTAGCCAGTTCCCAGTGTAGATGGAGCATCGCGAGTTCCGCGGTGCATCTAGCCATTGCACATCCGGCACGTCTGACACGACACTTAACCCGTTTTATGCGACCCTCGACCGGCTTGTGAGAACAGGGCTGGGACACGCAATCGCATGTGTGCCTAGAACGTCGCGTTTTAACCGTATGCGAACACGGTTTAGCTCCACAATCACAGCCCTGATCAGGATCATGGGTACATCCAACTTCCTCAGCGCACTCGCATCCGTTCGTTGAATTCGGTATGGCCGTAGACGTCGAGGACGACGTCGGACGTCGTCGTGCACCTGTTACTGAGTGCCGGCAAGGTTTCTCTGTGCACTCGCATCTGCGAAGCAAAAATTTCACCACTTACCCCTATCCTCATCAACTGTTCAACAACGTATGTTGCTCCCGAAGACTTCAATTTTATCCTACCCGGTTAATGTCTCTCTATTTTTACTTTTACAAGCGTCAGAGTGATCGGTCAGCTATTGGTTCATATCTAAAAGCTATAACGGTATAGAATAAAGGTACTTCAAAGAAAAGGTTGTAGGTGATAATAGAAAAAGGTACAAAGGCCACATCCATGTTTACCTTCTAAGTATTCTACGCGACAGCGAACCACGAGAAGCTGGTTGATGGGAGCACGGCTGATTCTCCGATGAGCAGTCGCAGCTGGTACCAGCTAGACGCGTTTTACGAACCCTCACTAAAACCGGATGAACGGGACAGGGCTGCACCTGACAAGCACACACGATAGTGCGTGGTCCGCGAGACTTACGGCCACCACCACCCCGTTTCGCACGCTGGTCCACGTGCAGCTGACACGGCTGCGTGGGACAACCGCAGCGCCCCGCAGCGCCGCGACGGCTGGCACCCTGGACGCGTCTCCACACCCGCTCCATTCAACGACCGGCGTGCGACTGACAAGAGAGAACCCCCCAGACCTCCCACAACCCCTTTTCTATCATCCATTGCACAGACCTCGCTTGCGCCCTGACTACAGGATACCCTGCTTATAACCCCCTACCTAACCAAACGACGTCGGCGTCTGCGCCTCGTGAACTCCCTCGATACTCTATACGTAGGACCACTCAATCGTATGCTTGTAGATTAGAACTGGCATGCTGCAAACTCTTACTTCTCCACCCTTTCGGTCATTGGTAAACTTTTACCCTTTGTCAAGTTTTATACTAGTTTCTTATTCACGGGATACAAAATCGACAATGTAAATTGATTAACGTTATTTATATTCACATTGTGTACAAGTTATATTATACTCTTGAGTAATTAAACAGGCATATCACTGTACCTAGATATTAGTCAACATTGTTCAGTTTGATCTTGTTGTACTGAGTACAGAAGCAGTAAATATCTGCTGAAGAATCCGGGGGATGTTTTGGAGGTCCATGCAAACGAAGCCTCTCCCAGATGGCATCTTACTTGTTAATCTAGAGTCAAGCACAAAGTATTGTGAGACTGACTGAACAAGTGCAATACTATTTGATGAGGCAGGGTTAATTTACCTTGCTGCTTGGTCACCCAAGGAACCAATGAAAATGGCGTACGCATTCACATCTGGATTCGATGTCAATACTTTGACAAATCGTGTTGGTGATATACCGTATCTTTCCAAATTAGCATCGGACAGAACAACGACAATGGATTCGTCAGTATCTTCTTTGGATAGGCTAGCAATGGCGTGTTGAGTAGCCTCAAGTGTATAGTCACCAGACATACAAAATTGAGAATGTGCGTGCATGGTCTAAAAAAAATAGATTAATGAAGAAAATATTTAATTTCAACGTTTTAAGGCTAACTGCTACCACCTTGATGACTTCCAACCGCTGTTTGTCATTTTTGGGTGGTTGCGTGTGATCGACAAAGGGTATATGATAATCTTCACCAGAGTGACCAACTATGTCATATTGAAATTTACCCTCATACCCACTAAACGCTTCCATAACCATTACACAAGCTTCCAGTTCTCTATCTAAACGTCCGTCATAACTGTTGAATCTGTACATGCTACCAGACACATCGACAACCAATTTCAGACGCTTTGGTTTCAACTGCGGAGCTCCAATATCCGGTTCCTTCTCTGCTCTACGTCTATATATTGTTCTCTCTCCTGTCAAGCCTTCTATGAGTTTGGTGTCATCGAGCTCGCCGGAAGTCTGATGTCTGCACCATTGACGTTCGTTGCTCTTGGCCTGAAGGCTACCCAGGATCACGCGAAGTGCCTGAACTGGTTTTCTTACAGCATCACTGAACTGACTATACAGATTATGATCGTATTCGCTCATACGAATCTCCTGAAGTCGCTGTTTAAATGCACGTCGACCCATTTCACGGGCAGCTTTCTTTACGTGTTCAGGAACTGCATTCTTCTCTTCGTCACTCAACTGAAATACAGTGTGTCCCGCGTCCAATCTGTAGGGACCACCCTTACCACCAAGACCAGCTGTATCCCTGCCTAATCATTTAATGACTTATTATCTTGTATACGTTTTTAATACTTAACGTCTCGTTTGGTAACTTACCCCCGGTCCCACCAGCCCAAGTATTTCCACCAACGTGCGGATCATTATTTTGATCCACTTTTCCATGTTTTGGTTCACTCACGTCCAACCCGGAATACCTTTCCTTTGTTACCTGAAGTTGCTCGCCGTCTGAAACTATCATTCTACGCCATGAACCCAATGACTTTTCTATATTTACTAGTGATGTTTCCCAAAGTCGAATGCAACCACCTGCATCCACCGTTACCAAACCATTGTTTGATGTCATAGCCGCATAGAGGGGTAAATTGTTTGAGTATAGCCATTGGGTTACAGGTGAGACTTTTGCTGGTCTTTAAAGAAAAAGTTTAACATTAGCATAAATATTAATAAAACTAATTAGAATACTTACTCTGGTACTGGTATGTAACGGGCTTTATGATTCACTGTATCAACCACTTCAAGATATCCAGAAATTCCTGGCTGCTTTTTAGCATCCGGAAGTATAGTATCTGGTACGTATTCTGGTGATAAGGTACGAATCACTTGTCCATCGTTTGTAATAATTGGGTCAATAAAACTTGTCGTTCTGCGGTTTCTTGGCCATAAATAAATTTCATTGGAACTGTCCAATTCTGGAAATCCCACTACTATACTGGCATATGTAAGGTCGCTCGAGACCAATCTATTTGGAGAGTTTATTTTCTTTCTCAGTGCTTCACTTAGTACTGTATCGCTTAGACTCTCAATCCCACTATTCAATACACTACCCATACCAGTAGTACTAGTGGTTTCTTCGATTTCCTTTAAGATATTAGGACAGGATGCATTTTCTGAAAATTTCTGAAGGATATATTTTCTCCTGGAAATATCTTGAATCAACCATTTCTCGTGAGAAGATGGTACAACAGTATCAATTTCAAATGGCAACGTTATCGAGAAGGCAGTCATGTCTTTCAGATTAATAACTTCCATTTTGTTGTCATTGGGCGTGTAGAATATTGCTTGATTAGTTGTTTCCACTAAATCATCTCGAAGCTTCCAATGATTTTCTCTGTTTCCAAATGCTTGGGACAATCGCTCGCCAGCTGTTTCTAAAAATGAGGAAAGTTGCACAGCATTCGCAATGCCTTTTTCCAAATTTACAAGAAGCAAAGAGTTCGACTGTAAATAATTGATAGTTATTAGTAATCATTAATGATATCTATATCGTATGCATATTGTCTTTATATCCAATTTACACTTTACCGTTTCTTCGTGTATTAATACATTTCCGGCATTGTCAGTTGTCATTGAAAACAAAGGTTTATTTCCTCTAACTGGTCTCATCAATCCTTGAATCGACAATTCCTGGATCTCTGATGATTCAGATGTCATACTGAAGATAGACAGAGGATTTGTTGCAAGAATGTGAATGATGTCATCAGATGCATCTCCTTTCTTGCCCTTTGTTACAGCTAAAGCAGCGATGGTTCCAGTTTCACTCATTGGTAGGGTCCAGTAGCTTTGCATCTCTGTAAACCATGCTGATCTTGCTTCAATTTTATCTAAAATATGTGTCGCTCTTGATGGGTAAACTGGGGCTTTTAATTTAATGTATCGCTCCTGTACAGGTACAGTCCGGCACTTGCTCAGGACGTTCCAGGTACCAGAGAAACGTAGATCTGGCAAAGATATTCTGCGAAGGAAATGGGAAATAATGAAAGATGTGTCTAAGCTCGGATGCTTTATTATTTACAGACTCTGTACATGAGGTGGTTTGATTCTCTTCTGTCAAACCAACTTACTCTTTAGCTAAAGCAACATTGTTAGGATTAGTACCAATTGGTATGCCATGTTTATGAAGGACCGATACCAATGTGTCAAATATTTCTTGGGAATATCTGTCAAAATCGAATACATTGCGCACTACGTTACCTAAAGACTCGTTCGGAAATTTCTGAAAGGATATTGATCGTGGTTGAAATTTGAAATAATGAAAAAAATTGGAAAAACATTAGGAAAATTTAAATTTATACTCACTTGTAAATGTTTCACGATATTCACTACCTCGCGTGTTGAATAAGGATACGAAACCAGTCCCTGGTCAGCCATTGATCTTAGTTCGCTGAAAGCTTTGACCAATTTCTGAATAATCTTTTCATCAACATCAGGACCATATAGTTTCAAAAGCTTTATCTCGTTCTCAAGACTTGGATTGTCTACGGAATGAGTGCTGAAGATGTCACCGAGTGCGCCAAAGAAATCATTTCCCAAAAATGGAAATCCTGGCCTATTAGCCAGGACTATTATTCTGAAATCTGGATGAATGGGTATGATGTTTTTATTATCAGTATCACTTGCAGCAGGTACTATTCGACGTCCATCCGACAATATCATTTCTCCTGATTCAACCAGGGTCTATAAATTTAAGTGGGGTCGTACAATTCATTATAACTCAAATAAATATTATATCCCATCACAAACTACAATTACCTTTAATATACAAGTCACGTGAGTCGGTGCCTTATCAGCTTCATCGATAACTAACACATGTCCCAATTTAACAGCCTGAACAAGAGGCGAGTCTTCGTAAACCACCACGCCGTCTCTTACCATTGGTTGAAGAGTCAAAGTCTGCACAGTTGTGTCTCTGTGCAATTGTATATACTCTCTTGGTCTATTTAATAACTGTAACAATCTGTCAACTATTTTGTTCTTGCCAACGCCCTGATTTCCCACCAGCAACAGATTCTGGCCCAATGTAAAATCCTGAAGCAATGCCTCCAGCAATGCAATGTGTTGAGGTACGTCGTAGAACAATATATCAGGTACTTTTGTCAGTGCTTCTGTTTTATATCTATCCACTATTGTATCTCCTATTCTCAATTTATTTCCAATAATCTCATACTTGATATTTGGATCCACTTGATCTTTCATAGGATGGATATCGTGTTGCTTCAAGGAATCTTCAAGGGCTTGTTTTGCTATTGCTGGTAAGAATCGTGCAAGACATGCTCTGTGCACTGCATTGTATACATCATCGCTTGGATATTTTTGCATTCTTGCTGCAATCCTCAACAACTGTCTTGTGCTTAGGGAACCAGCTAATGATTGCAATGTAGAATCATTCGATGATCTTAATGCGTGGGCCAATTCAATGATATTCAGCAATGACTTGCTGGGTTCCCCATACTGTAGGCAATGCAAAAAATATTGTTCTTGTAGCCTCTCTATTACTTAGACTCATAAAAATAATACTGAAACATTACCTTTGATCTTATAATGTGAATCTCTTCAGACTTCTCCAGAGGTCTCATTTCATGGAACAGAAACAAGCTCAATAATTCTGAATTCAACCACTGACCGGATGAACTGTTGATAAGCGGTGGCTCAGCCAAGGCTATCAATCTGAATGATGGATCTATTTTTAGGATACCTGATTCCTTCATCTGCTCGTCTGTTTTCTTGTGCTCTGCTTTAATCTCGTTATATCGATCAGCACGAATCAATCTTTTTCCATCATGCAACTGCAATTCTCTATCCTGAACCAACCTGAAAGAATACAGCAATCATGCATAAGGTTGCTTTGGCGCGAAGGAGCACAAAAAATTAACAAAGAAGCACTTAAAATACCTGTATATTACAGCCAGTGTACTTGGATGTATCCTGTGCAAACCATCCAGTATTGCTAATTTACCCTCAGTAGCAGCAATCACAAGGGGTGAATCTCTCCAAACGGTATCTCCATTAAGCAACGTGGTGCGTTGTTGTATTAGATCCCTAGAAGTCATATCCTGACAAAATATATCAAAAAGTTGGAGGTAACTGATAAGAAAAACGAAATAAACCAAACTGCTACGTTTGACATATTATCATCGGATACTTACCTGGTACAGAACAATTGGCTCCACACTGAATCCCAATTGACTAGCTAATTTGTCAACAGTTGTTGATTTGCCACAACCCTTTGGACCAATTAAACATAAGTCGGAAGCTAAATGAGACTCTAGCATTTCTACTAATAAACTATTTTGATAATTTGTTTCAATATATTCTGATTTTCGAACCGTGGACTTTTTAGCAGCTCCACAGTTTACCTGAACAAAAATTAATTCATAATAGGCGTTTATTTATACATTTTTTTTTTAGCAATTACAAATCTTTCCTTACCTGAACAGAATTTTTGTGACCGTTCTTTTCCAAAACAACTCGCGCCAGACTTTCTGTTTTTTCAATATTGGTAATCTTCTTTGATATACTCTTAGTTGACGCGCTATTAAAAATTCCAAAAGTCTCAAGTATAGTTTCAACCGCGTTTCTGCCCTCTTTACCCAAAAATAATTTATAAGGATACAGTCTATAAAAAATATCATACACCTCCACATCCGGGAATGTTTCCTAGGATATCAAAAACGATTGATCAGTCGGCATCACGATGCCAAATGTACCAACATTAAAAATATAAAATCAGCAAATGTCCTGTACCAGTATAAGAGCTGCAGACTGTAGATTGTCCAATGGAAAATCAGGAAGACCCAAAGTAATAGCTTCGTGTGTGGTAAGAGCATGACAAGAGGATAGCAGCTGGGACAATTTGGCGACGTCCACATTTGGAGCAATCCTTTTGAGCATTTCCAATTGTTCCTGGAAATTGTAACAAAGACTCGTAAACTAATTTGTTTTTGTGAAAAAAAAAACTGTTTAAACCATTCAACTAAAATCTATGGTGCATTATGTCAGTAAAACAGTCAACATAGTTCGAATAGTAGTTCGTGTGCGGAATGCTGCTCTGATTTGTTAGAAACAGTCATCCAAAGTGATTAACAAGGAGAGGCCTTCGGGGTAGCATGTAACTAACTACCCCTCGACACGACATCCTCGAGATTGCCGTGTGATTTCCATCGGGAAGTTTGAATTGAATCGCGCAATCTGAGGAATCCAATCAATGATAACGTTCGATGGGGGAAAGTGTGATTGGTCCAAAAAAAAAGAAAATTGAATCTGATGGTAGTCATAAATTTACCTGAAAATCAATAAGTGTGCATATACACAAACTCAAAATCAAAATAATGTCTAATTTTGAAGGTTTATTTAACACTAGATTTACGGAACCCCTCATTTTGACGGATTTCAAATTTCATGGTAAACCCTTAAATTCCACACTGGAGTGAATTGCAAACTCGCACCGGCTAGTATGGAATTTAAAGGTGTGTAACAAAGGCGTGAAATTCGAAAATTAAAGTTACAGAAATTATAAGTATTATTTTTTAGCAGTTCCTGTTGAGACTGATAATCAACCTCCGTAAATCTAGTGTTAAAAAATAAAAAGGTAACAACAGCATAGACATATTTTTTTACTACAGTCATTTTGAAAAGAAGCGAGGGTTCGAAGTTAAATATTATTCTTAAATGTATCCCCTGTTTTCACGGTTAATGTGTCTCTAGCTTCGCTTTAGTCAAGACACGCGATTTTCATTCTTGTAACTTTCAAGACGCACTGCATGACGGAGGACTATAGAATTTGCGTGTGTAATGCCTGACTTTGTTCTATGTAATCCTAAGTTCGTGGGTGAGTTTAAGCACCTTTTTTTTTTCTTGTTTACTGTTGGGGTGACGAGGTCGTAAATAGTCAAAGGTTGACAGTATATAGACCATATTTCGTCGTCACGAATTTGTCGTTCCTCGTACGAGGAATTTCTGCCAAATCGTAAAAAGAATTTTTAAAATAAATTCGAAAAATTTTTCGTTGGTCTTGGTCTGTTTTAATATAGAGCTACCTATGAGGTTGACCGATTGTTTCACTAAAAATATAAATAATTACCTCCTTGAGAATCATGTGGGTGTCTGAATTGAATGTGATGATTTAAGTAAAATTCATTTAATTATAATAATTGACCGTTAGTTGGGGTATCGCATTAATTGAATTATTCTAGGAAGCGTTAAAGAATTATCGAATGATTATTAGAGAACGATGTGATAAGTAAAGTCGCGTTAATTAAATTCGCGCGATCAAAGCATTGCAATGCGTAAGCACAGTAATTAACGTTTTATTAATCGATATAAATGTCCGTTATTATTATTCGCATATTAATGATTCCTGAGAAGACAGCTGTTTCTCGCTGGGTTTTAATGTCGGCATAAAGATATGCAATTCCGGTCGTTTCGGCGGCGACCAGACGGTTTGTTTTTCTTGCTGCTGATCTTCATTTTTCAAATTGTCCTCCGAATTTTTGATAGTTTTTGATTTAGGGGTTTCGGAAAAATATGACTTCACGAGAGGCACCTCGTTCCTTTCGGTTTTCTCGTTTCTCTCAGTCTCTTCTAGAAATTTTGGAAATAATTCTTGAACCTTGGAATATCGTTTTTTCAAAAATCGTCTCTCGCAATCAGTGTCTACAGCCTTTCGTTCAGTCTGCAGTCTGTAGTTTTGCAAGACTATTCGTTCCTTAGCTAAAAACGCGGTCGAACTCTCAGCTCTGCATAAGTAGGAATTTTTTCTTTGTCTTCCAAAATTCAATTTCCGGTCATCCTCTGATTTCGATTCTATCGTTGCATTATTTCTATCGTATTCTCCAACTCTGCCAGACAAATCTAACCACTGAAGAACTCTTTCGGACAAAGGATTTGACTGAGCTTCCGGCGATTTTTGTGTAAAACCGGAAATCGACTCATCTTCCTTAGAAAAGCCGTAATAATAATCCGGAATTTCAGCAACAGCTCTACTATCACTTTGACAATTATTGCATGGACCAGTAAAGTTTTTAACATTTTTTCCCAAATCAAAAACTCCATTCACTACCGGTACCTCCACGAAATTCCTACCATTGCCTTCAGACCTCTTCGTTGACGACGGAGCTGATTGTCTTCGCGTCATTCTTCTGGATGTTTCGTTGCTCACAACATTTTTCTCAACGACCATGTGCAGCTTGACAAAACAATTATCAAGACTGTCCAATCTCGACTTATAAAGATCCACAGGATAATTTTTCTCCTTCGCGACAGAAGTCTGAGGTCGTCGACACGACCTGACGTTAAGAAGTGGATCGTCAGGCGTTAAAATAGCGTGACGAATTCCGTCAACCCAAACCGTCCTGACTGAAATAGGCCTCTCCGAGGAAGACCATATAGCCGGCATTTATAATTAAAAAAAAATAATGTCTTTCCACACTACCAGTATTCCAGCACAAATCAATGCATTCTAATTCATTGAAATCTTAAATTGCCAAAAATTCGATCCCTAAATTAATTTCCTGATTTAATTTTAACTTCGTTAAGCAAATGAAGTAGGAATTTATAATATTGTCAAGCGCAAAATTAAATTCACGAATAAACAGTCAGCTCGGAAGCACCGTTTGTTCTTGAATGAAGAAAATTCTTGATAACAATTTCTTTTTAAATGACACTTGGATTTTCGGTTTGATATTATTTATTCTTGAAAATTCGGTGTATCGACTTCGTTCGAACAGGACGACAGTATGGTATCTACTGTTTGGGACACGCGATCCAAGCTGCGATGTCTGTGAGCATCGCGCAGCCACGGAATCAGTTTATATACGACAAAAGTGGGGACTGAAGGGGCTGGTAGAAGTCCAGGGTGGTCCCACTCCAATAGCTTGGAATTTTACATTAAAACAGCCGAATATATTCGCATAAATCACAAGAAACTTTTCCCAGCAATGCGCACGACCGTTCCCTTTGGTTTATTCACTTTTGAATTTGCAATATATTAGTTATATATAAACATTCTTAAAAGTTTACTAGAAATTTCATCCCTTGTACCAATTAATTATATTCATTAGTTTGAAGCGAATTATTCCAAAACAACATGTCGAGAAATACCAAAGTTTTGTCTGTACTGCTCAAAGATGAGGTTTGGGATACCAGAGTAATTTTCGAGATATTTCAATATGGCGTGTCACAAGAGTGGTCATGTTTGTTGTTTAATATAAGAATGAAAGAATTAAGATAATTAGAGTCATTTTCCACTGACTACTACTGTTGCCCGAAGGAACTCCTGGGGTTTGGTGTATGTAACTAAAAACTTTGCTGGGATACCTGGAGCGTCTATTATGGGAATTTATAGACTTGAAAAATGACGCCTGTCCTCGCGATAACGAGCGTGACATTCTGGGACAAAGCAGACTTTAATTACGGGACTGTCATTGCCATTCAGGAAATGCCATTCATGACAGGAAGACAGGTTCGATTATAATTGGAAGATTAATAATTTTTATAGCGACGTCCCTACAGTTCTGGAATTCTGATAGGTTTCAAGCTTCTTTAGAAATTTTAACTAAATTTTGTTCCTATAATAATTATAAGTGCTTGCCATGTATTCTCAGTTTCTAAATTAAAGGAAAGACGTAACTAGATAGGACACGGCATCTACAAAGGTTTGTAACTTTTTAAATGACATTAAAGAATCACGTAACACAATACCTGTCATGGCTTATTGAGTGATTAGGAATCCGCCATTGTGTGTGGGGGTTTAACTGATAGTGCGTGCAGAAATCGGATTAAATTCGTGTTTTAACGTTATTGGTTGCTGTTAATAGGGATCGCATGAAAAACCTTTGTGTCTGATGGTATTAGGTCATATAGTTGATTAGCAGTGCTATATCGTTAATAAGGCTTTGCTTGAAAGTTTTAATGAAATACTGACGGTCATATAATTTGAAAAGTTAGTTAATGGCGGTTTAAGAAATTGCTCGATTACAAGACGCATGAAGATTTAGGTTTAGTCATTTTGTGATAACATCTATCTGTACTTGCATTGTTAAAACTTTGAATACTTGGCAGATTGGAATGAGTTTAATTTTTTTTGCAATATTTCTCAGTCAATTTTATTACCTCGTAAGAAGAAGCTGGAATGTGTCGCGCTTGGAATCGAGATCTTAATGGTGGATCCAGAGGATTTCCTGGATAACGTGGTGCTGGTAATCCTAAGGCTATTACCCTAAATTCCTCACTGACTCGTACCAGACTCCAGCTGTTCAGTTCTTCTTGACTGTGTTCCTGCAGATGCTATAATATTTAGACAATCTGAATTCGGTACATATCCGTTTCAGCGTACCTGTAGCAATTTGTCATATCGTGATGCTGGAATGAGGAATCTCCCATCTTCAAGGTGCATTTCTCTGTTCTCTAAGAGATTGTTTAAAATTGGCAAAACGTTTCTTTCTGCTTTCTCAACACCTTCCAGGATCAGGACTCTTCCATTTGTTGCTGCCCTAACTGCACTTTGATCATGATAATTTGCAGTACCACTTTCAATTTCTCTTCTCTGTTTCAGGTCAGCTTCTGTGGTATCTCGTGAAAGAGCTACAAATTCTGCTTCTCTTCCTGTTAACTCGAGAAAAGCGAGTGCAAGACAACGTCTCTTGGATCCTGGACTACCTATTAGAAATATATCCTGCCCCAGAACATCTTTTTGCAACATCCATCGTAAGTTTTTTAATGTTTCTTGACTCTGATCTTTTAATACTGTATAGAAAAAATATTAGATTGAAATTGTTTATGGGTATAATTGCAGAAGTAGATGAACTAACATACTTACTGTATTTTCTCGGTATATACTCTGGATGTTTAGCAGGTTTAACTCTTTTGGAAACACCCCCAATAGTTATAACTGTATCGTCTATAGTCAAGGAACAAGAATATACTATAATATACCAAAAACATTTTATTTTCACAAAACTTACCAGACTTGCATCGTACAAATGTTCTCAGGTTAGAATCAATACTTTTCGATTTCTCAAGAATTGAAAAGCATGAGATTGACATTTGTCGCATAGGAATTTTATTAAACATTTTTCCTAAATTTATCATTTGCCATAAAATAATTTAATTATCAATAATATTTTAACGAAATCCAGCAGAAACTTTGTAGTATAATGCTTCGTAACATTATTTTATTATTATACAAGAATGACTTCAAACGTTTTTCTTACTTTCTGTATTAATGATGCACTATCATTTTAATTCCATATATTCAAATTTAGGTGCTAACACAATATTATCTTCTGTACATATACAAAAATACACTATAACAAAAACTTAATAATTAGACTCTTAAATGATTGAAGCACATTGGAGCAAAGTCCAAGTTCACTTGAGTCCACGCTGTTGTTGGTTGTGATGTGGTGGGGAGACCCACGATAGCGAGTGCAGACGCTCCTCAGTACCCCAACTACTAAGCTGTGAGTAATGGCGAGCATCCCGCCTTACCGACTGCGTCCCGACTCCAGACCCATTGATTTACCTATAAACGAGAACAGTGGCGTAAGTTCCTTTGAAATGCAGAATATTTTTGAAATAGTTAAATTAAAATCATTTATAACAGTTTGATTTAGGAACGAATGATAACGCATTAAGATAAAAGTTAAGGTCACATTATTATTACTGTAAATTTTATAGATAAAAAATGACATTTTGCACTTATTAGTGAGTAGATATAATTTTTTTCAATCACTTCTTTCGTTTATCTTGATGCTTCAGTCCATAATAATAACCTGTAAAAATTCATTTGTTACCTGTACAAGTTCTTTTATTAAAACCACAAATTGTATTTGGTCACTTACCTGTGTGAAAACCACTAAGGTACCAAGACATTAGCATACTAGAAAGTGCATCTCCATCATTGTCAGGCATTCTAACAAATATTGAAGTTGTTACTTATTGAGTAATTAGTACAAAATTGAACAAGACTAACCTTGACATTAATTGGGGTGGTAAAGGTGGTGCTGGAGGCATCATTCCCAATCCTGAACTAAAAGAGGATGCTTGTGGAAAAACATTTTTAAACTGTTTGAAATCTTCAGCATCACACTCCATTTTTTCAGTGGGATCCCCATTGGTTTTTTTAGAACTAGAAGGAATAGTAAATTCTCCTTTGTTGAAACCACCTTGATTTACCTGCTCCAATGAAGCATCTTTTTGTTGCGCTATTTGACTTTGCAAACCTTCAGACTCAAGAAGTGCAGCAAGCTCTACCTTCTCAAAATTACCATATCCTAAAAAGTAATTGAGTCCATTGTAAAAGTCTGTTAAATAATCCAAAATATCAATGCTATTATTACCTATGAATTTAACAATACAAGTTCCAGTATTTTCATATATTTTTGATATCACGGCTTCGTATATTTCACCATCCTCAGAATATACTGCCCGGCAAGGAGATCCTACTGACCATTTCTACAAAAAGAAAACATATCTCTCTCTGCTAATCATTTTTACAAAATATAATTTCACAAGTCCAATTTCATCACCTTAATTGTTTTATGTGCTTGTTTTGGTTGTTTATGAGTTTGAGATTTCTTAGATTTCCCATGTGAATCTTGATTTTCTATACCCATACGTTTGTCCACTTCTTGTTTAGCAAGATTCACAGCTTTGTCATAAGCTTTTATTAAAGCAGAATCGTCCCAGACATCATCAACTTCTGTACTAGTACCCTTCTGATAATCAAATGCTTATTAAAAAACACAAATTTAATGAGAATTCTACGTACATTTGAATCTCTCACGAATAACACATTATCTTCCTCTGCCATGCTTAATAATGTTCATTCAAAATTCTATAGTTTTTTGTAATATTTGAATAGACCCCTTGATTGTATGTAACGTGTTTTGGGGGTTATACGGTATATGATAAACACTGATGTTCGGCTAATGTTACGTATATATTTCGTCTGCAATCCCGTCCAAGCATGAACAAAAACCGTTCTTTTAGTCTATATCCCAACGGAAGAACCAATGAACAGTCGTAACTTTGCAGCACCATCTTCAGGCAATATAATGCAATAATGTAATTCGGGTACCCTTAATTTGTAAAATTATCACTAGAGGTTCCTAATTCATACAATTATAATTACGTTATGATTAGTTTGCAGGAAAGTTTAGTTTTTTTTTCCAAATATAATAAAAAACATTTAAACACATGTTAAATATATTTACACTTTATTTAAATGATCTCAAATAGTAGTACATTAACAGTGCTACAGGTATAATAATATATTATATCTCTGATTATTTATTTGATATAATTTACTATTAAAAATATGCGTAATCAATAATCCGTTCTATTGGCATACACAATAATTGCACCAAACCAATTACCATTGCAATTAGTATAAACAAAACGTCGTTATAAATTATAAATTTAGATTTAGATTCATTAATTGAGCGCATTATATATTGATTAAAAAAATATATCGTATACTTGATAAAACAAGGTGTAAATGAATTTTACAAATAGTGAATATCATTTTTGTTTTTGCATAATTAAAGTAATAATTATTGACGCAATAACATTGGATAATTTGTACTGTACTAATTGTAATAAGAATATTAGATCCTTATATAGACGCAGACAGTGAATTAAATAAAACGCTACTTGTCAAACCTACATGAGTAGCATCAGGAAATATTGTGTGGACGCTTGCAAATGGATTAAGGGAAGGATTAAGGAATACATTGAAAATGTATTTTAAATAATATCACAGTTAGAATACGAAAAGATGTTAATTCTAAAATCGTACGGGGATTCTTTTTCCTTCTTTCGTTATTCTACTCTTGAAAGCCGCAAAAACAATGAGCACGTCTACACGAAAATGATACAAATTAGAAAAATAAAATTGAAGCCAACGGCGTGCCGTAGAATATTATTTATTCCACGAATGATCTAATATTCTACATTATCGTAGAAATTGTTTTTTTGGTCTTTCATCCGAATAAATCAGAAATCTGTCTTCCCGGGCAAGAAAACAAATAGACAATGAATATTACCAACTCTGCATCCAGACGTCGAAAAGCGAAAGCATGATTAAGTCATTAGATTCAAAAATGTTATATAACGCTAATAGAAACACTGGCACTGGTAATTTCTGTGTTTTTGTTTCTGTTAATATTTACTGAAAGCATGAATACTCTGCGAAAAAGGTTTTAATTTAGTGATCCCGGGGATAGAAAAAAAAAGAAAGTGGTTGGTTCAGTAGAAAGACAAGTCATGCAAGTGTTGGAAGAGGAATGTAAAAAATTACACAGGTGATATTTGTTAAATGTAAAAAATTAATTCAGGAATCTGTCCCTCCTCAATGGTAGTTCCATTATTATCACCAGCTGCATAATAAAATTGAAAGTTTACTTTCCCGTGTCCTGATGTACAATCTACCATGACCTTTCGCGAACCTTGTCTGCCGTAATAAGAATCCGGACCCTGCAATGACGTAATAATCATCTAGTTTCCACGAGAATTGGACAGCTTAAAAAAAATGTAATTAATACAAAATTTTCATCATTCCAAACCTTCAGCAGTGCGGATGCTGTATAAATTGTATTGGGCAGAATCTCAACAGGTTCTTTGAACATTAGCCGATACGTATAACTGGAACCATCACAACTAAATTCGGTAGAATTAGTAGCGATGACTTTACCGGAAGCCGCATGAATCAGTTCTATAAGAACGGTATAAGCAGCTGGACCATGATAGCTACCGTAGACGCCGTAACCAACAACGAATATACGACGGTCGACACTAAACCTGTATTGCAGATGTGCAGGAAGACGCTTAGGAGAATTTTAAAATAAGAAAAATAAATTGTTCTACTTACCGAATCCGATCACTGGTTCCAGTGTAGCCCCATTTCTTATCAGTCTGCATAAATCTACAAACTGTTTGTTCTTTGCCCATCATGCAACATCGAGGCATGACGTCAAATGACGCCACAGGTTTTGGGTTTACTGTAAAATAAATGAAGAGCAAAACTATCTGTAAAAATATAAATTGGACATTAATTTTCTTCAACTAATTATAGTATTGTATATTTAGTTGTACCAACCTCACGATCAGGAAGTAATCCGGATTGGGCTGGACCAGTTGCAAATTCTTCCACGGACATCAATGGAAATCGGACTAACGAAAGAGCTCGTCCTAAAACTGCACGTTGATTCTCTGGTGTGACTGGTAATTGCTGTCTGGCACATTCCGCTTTAGACCATCTGAGAATAATTATTGGATTATTATAAACGTCTTTCGTAGAAAAAAATTTATTCCCTATCAGGCTGATAAATAATACCTCACGACAGCCTGGAATATTTTGGATTCTCTAACACGAAGTGTGTCCCGTTCGAGCACAGCCATTAGAGTATCAATGTCGATGTCTGTAAATCCGTCAGCATTAAGGGCATCAGTTGTAAATTTATCAATTGTATCTAAGCAGACCGCTGCTAACTGTGGCTCGTCAAATAAGCGAGCTTGAGTTAGAAGTAAAAATGCATTGTCACTGGTTAAATTTGTTCTCAAAAAATCAACACAATGTTTTTCTAGAGGAGAGACTGCATATTTTTTTGCCGTATATAATGTAGTCATAACTGTTTCTGGATCTATTTGTATTTCATCTGTATAAAGGAATAGTAGCACAGCTAGGAAAGCTGCTGGTTCAACATCAGGGACTTCTATTTCTGCTGACGATGTAGCAAGTGTGCCATTAAACATTGCATCAAAAACTGCGCTTCCTGAAGAAAGAACCAGCTTGTGGGCTGGTATACGTTGTTGCTGAGCCCCACTTCCTACCAAGAAGCTGACATCCGAGAGAATTTGATTGTTAAAGAGGAATGCAAATCTCTCTCGCATAGTGGCTTTATTGCCCTGCCAATTGTACGTAGCTCTAGAAGGAGCATGATGTCCAGGTGCATTCTCTGCCACTATACGACTTGCTGGTCTAGCTTCTTGTTGCGGTGAGTTTGCAGAGTTAGATGAAGTGCTGTATAGGAACAAAGAATATTTCATTGCACAATATAACATTAAGAACTATTAATACATACTTATCAGAACTCGAAGAGGATGAATCTCTAACTCTAGCCTGAGAAGTTGAAGGCAGGTCTTCGTCACAGGAATAAGGAAGAGCACGACGTACACGAGAAAAAGTAACGTTTCCTAAGGATTGCATATTTTGCGGTGACTCCGAAGAAGCTTCTCCAAGTTCTGTTTCAACATTTTGAGACTCTTCAGCTTCATTACTACCAAGCCGAAGGTTCCCTACCCTAGAAAGAACGTTCAGCACTTCATCTGAAGACTCTGATGTCATCTTCAGGCAGGAGAAGTAATATTTCTCTATTTGTTGCCCCGTTTCATCTAATGAACAATTATTAGCATTCCAATGACAAATATCAGTACACAAAAATGCCTAAGTTGTTTGTAATAGTTGATAGATTGTTAATCAATTAGACGACTGATGCTTGCACGAATGACATGTTTCAAAACTACCCTTCCTGTCGGAATGGGAAGAAATATTTACTAGTAATTTTTTACTAGGACGTTAGCACAGACTTTATGAAACTTACTCCGGAATAACCAGAATTTTAACTCAATCCACGAAGCTTGCTTCTATCAATGACTTAGGGTGCTTTCCAATTACATGACTTGTGTCGAAATATGTCCACAAACGTCTACACACAAGTTTTCAGGTCAATTGGAACAGGCCGTGTAGTAAAATGGTTAAAGAGCTAGAGATTTTAGTACCTAACAAAATACAGAAAATACTTTTATAAAACAATTTGCATACAATCACTATTCACCTCTTCAAACATTATTAAAGATATTTGCTTCTTACATTTCCACAAATTCGACACAAGATTTGAATTTCCTACTCTTGGTTTGGTCCATTCGGATACTTTACACCGTGAACGTAGCGCAATTAAAATCTAGGGATAAACACTATATCTGTGTACGCGTTTGTCGTCTCGTGTCGTAATTGGAACAACAGTGCGTAGATAATTGTGCACAATATTTGTTTAGAGATCTTTCAATTGGAAAGCACCCATATTGAATAAAGCTTTCCAAATACTACTAAATGTTATTGGATCTCGACATACTTTCAAAATTTATTCAAAATATAAAATTGGGGATAAATCAAAATCTCGCCAAATATACGAAGTATATAAACATTGAATTGAAATTGTAAAATATCGAAAATAAATTATACTCAAATTGAAATATTAAGAAATGAAGTATTTGAAATATTAAAATAATTAATTAAATAAACAAAGTAAACTATTAACACAAAGAAATCAGAAATTCTAGCCAGACATTTAAAAGTACTGAAAGTTACCCAAAATTTTGTGCGCGCAATTTCATCGCGCAAGACTCAGCGAGTGGGAGGAGCCGTGGAGTGGGGAGCGCTCAAGGCAGTGCTCCCGAGCGCTCATTCTTCCTCGATCCGGTCTCCTATACTGGTCTCTTGGAAACACCTCGCATATCCATTTCCAACCTTCTTCTTCTTCTATATTTATTTCTTCATTAATTCCTTATTTCTTTATCTTTCATTCTTCACATTCTTATTTATCTCTTTTCTCATTTCTTCTCCACTTTTATAATTCTATTCCTTACTCTTCTACTTCTTCACTTCTTTATTTCTATATCCATTTCCAACCTTCTTCTTCTTCTATATTTATTTCTTCATTAATTCCTTATTTCTTTATCTTTCATTCTTAACTTTCTCATTCATCTCTTTCCTCATTTCTTCTCTACTTATAACTCTATTTATAACTCTATTCCTTACTTTTCTACTTCTTCACTTCTTCATTTCTATAACCATTTCCAACCTTCTTCTTCTTCTATATTTATTTCTTCATTAATTCCTTATTTCTTTATCTTTCATTCTTAACTTTCTCATTCATCTCTTTCCTCATTTCTTCTCTACTTATAACTCTATTTATAACTCTATTCCTTACTTTTCTACTTCTTCACTTCTTCATTTCTATAACCATTTCCAACCTTCTTCTTCTTCTATATTTATTTCTTCATTAATTCCTTATTTCTTTATCTTTCATTCTTAACTTTCTCATTCATCTCTTTCCTCATTTCTTCTCTACTTATAACTCTATTTATAACTCTATTCCTTACTTTTCTACTTCTTCACTTCTTCATTTCTATAACCATTTCCAACCTTCTTCTTCTTCTATATTTATTTCTTCATTAATTCCTTATTTCTTTATCTTTCATTCTTAACTTTCTCATTCATCTCTTTCCTCATTTCTTCTCTACTTATAACTCTATTTATAACTCTATTCCTTACTTTTCTACTTCTTCACTTCTTCATTTCTATAACCATTTCCAACCTTCTTCTTCTTCTATATTTATTTCTTCATTAATTCCTTATTTCTTTATCTTTCATTCTTAACTTTCTCATTCATCTCTTTCCTCATTTCTTCTCTACTTATAACTCTATTTATAACTCTATTCCTTACTTTTCTACTTCTTCACTTCTTCATTTCTATAACCATTTCCAACCTTCTTCTTCTTCTATATTTATTTCTTCATTAATTCCTTATTTCTTTATCTTTCATTCTTCACATTCTTATTTATCTCTTTTCTCATTTTTTCTCCACTATTATAATTCTATTCCTTACTTTTCTACTTCTTCACTTCGTTATTTCTATCTTCATTTCTTTCTTCTCGTTTCGCTTTGTTCCCTCTCACTTTCCATTGTACTTGTCTTACTTTTCCTATATTTATTTCTTCTTTACATCCTTATTTTTGTATGTTTCATTCTTTACTTTCTGATATATCTCTTTCCTTATTTCTTCTCTACTTTTATACCCCCCATTCATTACTTTTCTATTTTTTAACTTCTTAAATTTTATCTTCGTTTATAACTTCTCGTTTCACTCTGTTCTCTCCCTCGTTACATTGTGCTTGTCTTACTTTTCCTATTTCCTTGGTCGGGTCGAGCATATTAATTGAAGTAGTCATATAAGAGTAGTCATCCGGTTAGTGCAGCTAGACTTAAGACCATGGTGTCGGGGGTTGCCCTTCCGCCTCATCCGCTGAGCTTGCTCAGTGGTTGGTGGCCCAAGTTGTGGCCGCAACAGGACCTTATGGGTCTCCCGACGGGGGCCTTGAGCCCCCTTAGGGTATCTACGGCCATGGTCTTTCGTATAGTGAATCTAACCAGGTGTCTAGCTCTCGCGTATTTAGTATAATTTGTTCGCTTTGCTAAAAACGCTCCAACATGTCTTGACCCTTGGGCACTTGTGTGGGTAGAGACGATCCTATTTGTCCGTGGGGAGGTCGGAGGGGTAGTCCGTTGACTTTGGGTAAAGTCCTACTTGTGCTTGTGCTTGGGGGTCACTTCACTTGGGATAGGTGCGGGTGCTATTGAGCACCCGCTAGTATAAAGTCACCCTCTGTCGGAGACATTTTGCGCGGGGATCGATGGCTAACGGGGCCCGCCGCCGGCGGCGGGCGTGGTTCCTTACGTCTAACCCACTGGGCTTGCCCGTGGGAAGGGACGGAGGTTGTAGCGTTAAATATCGTCCTTCCGGATGTCCCGGCGTGCCCGCAAGGGTTCGCTGGGTGCTACGCCCGCGGTCTTTCGTTGCGGTGAATCTTGACTAAGGGCAGACCTTTCGCGTTTAACTTGTCCCTTTTGCGTTTAACTCATCTTAGCTTCTTCGCGTTTAACTTCACCTTACCCCCTTGTGCGTTTTTCTATGTTTCATTCTTTACTTTCTGATATATCTCTTTCCTTATTTCTTCTCTACTTTTATACCCCACAATCATTAATTTTCTATTTTTTGAATTCTTAAATTTTATCTTCCTTCATAACTTCTCGTTTCACTCTATTCTCTCCCTCTTTACATTGTGCTTGTCTTACTTCCTCGCATATCCATTTCCAACCTTCTTCTTCTTCTATATTTATATCTTTATTAATTCCTTATTTCTTTATCTTTCATTCTTCACATTCTTATTTATCTCTTTCCTCATTTCTTTTCGACTTTTATAACTCTA